TTTTTTACTTAACCTTGCGTTTCGTGTTGTGATGATGAGAAAATGTACACTAATATTTGCATGCGCTTAAATTTGAGTTGTAAATAAAAATTTTAACAAATCAAAAGATGAAGTAAAAAAATATATATATAAAATTTTTTATTTCTTTGTTTATGAACTTTTGACGCTGTTTGTGTGATTATTAGTGTAATAAAAAGATGACTCATTGGACATTGACATTGACTCTGATTTATATAAATGTCGGAGTTAACTTTAAAATTCATTTGTTTTTAAAAGAGATGCTGATTTGTATAAAAAATGATCGATTAAACAATAAGATAGTTAGTTAATTTTTTTTAATGACAGCTAAACATTTCTAAAGTATATTACAAAAAGTTCATGTTATAAAACTCCAAGATCTTTTCTCGTGTATACCATGGATTTTCACAAAGGATAATTGCTGAATTTTAAATAGATGAATGCAAGTGACGTGAATAAACATACGACAAGAAAATAAATAGGCTATAAAAGATGGAGAAAATTGTTCATAGTTGTAGATTTTCTTCTAGTTTTCCGTCTTTATCGGCTCATTGTTGATAAGTGAATCTACATCTGTAGAAGGAAATGTATTATCAGTTGTAATTGACGTCTGCATCATTACCTCATCCGGTTAAAAAAAAAAATTAAGTTCCTAATCATACAACATTCATGAGTTTTCAGATCTTGATCAACAGATATGCTTCGAACATTAGACTGATTAAGACTTGCATGAATCAATAATATTAATTTTCCTCTCTCAATGGTGATATTTGTAGTTTTCTATCATTTTTTAACGAAACTTATTTTTAAATTACTCGAATACATTTGATTTTGAAATTGAAAAGTGAAATAGTTGCCTTTTCAAGGCAACTGAATTTTAAAGTTATTCATATAAATTTTAATTTAATCTTATGAAATATCAAGAACGTTAAAGAGCTTCGTTCGTGTCGTTTCAACTCCTTCATGAAGAAACAGAATACCGACTATTTTTTTTTAATTAATCAGTACTTAGAAAAAACTAAAATATTATAAATGTCTGAAATATCATGTGTTATATGGGGATAAGGTTCACAAATATGTTTAGGTCCATCAGGTGTAGAAAATAACTTCATTAAAAATCATATTTGATTGCTTACACTAATATTCTTTACGTAATAATTCAAGATCAGTAAGAACTATTGAATTTGTTGTTATTACTGGATAAGCAACAAGAGGACGACGTTAATGAACATCAGATGATAACTTAGTATATATAATGTGACTTTCTTTAATTAAAGTGTTACTGATTCTTATAGATCTATGGAAAAAATATTACAGTATTTGAATGTTTTGCGATAACGTTGTAAAACATAAGAAGATCAAATATTGAGAAATACAGCACAAGAATAAGAAATTAAAACTTTATTGAATAGAACTCGTAAGTTTGGCAACATATGTCGACTAATTGGAATTATGGATAATAAGTGTACAATATCACAGCAGCGTAGCCAAGGGAGGGGTAAAATGGGCAATTGCCAATTTCATTTGGATATTTGCCCATTGTAATTTTACTTTTACAGAATTGTTTATTTATTTTTGAATTAGATAGTAACTCTATTTTTTTTCTTCCGTCTGAATCATACATACACTTTTGCTTGTTCTTTCTATGAAGAACGAAGAAAAGAAGAAGAAAAGAATCCCTTCTGGTATTTTTACCAGGGTTGCTAGATGAAAAACTTAAAATCAGGAAATGAATCAGAATTTTTTTCCGAAATCGGAAACTAATCAGAAAGAATAACTTTTTGCAGACTAAGAACTGTCATGTTCACATACTTGCACAAAATGCTTCACTTTTTTTTCTTTTATAGACTCATACTTTGCTTCCAAAAGTATGTCATAGTAAAGAGAGACAGCACAACTATTATATATCTTAGAGTAAAAGATCGTGTACTGTAAACTAAAGAGATTGATCATAGTCGGATCAAATGAATGCTCTCACTGTCAAACTAACTAATTAAAAATATGAGCTGCCAATAGTGTATACAGACACCGAGATATTCGAATTTCAAGAAGTTTACAGTTTGTTATGTGCCCACACTATGAAATTTCATCAGCGCCTAGTCATCTTTTTTCGTCATGGTTGGATGGAGTAGAACCATTTACATAAGAGAAAACAATATTACGCATATTAAAAAGCAAATTATACGAAGTCTAAGACAATATTTTAATTATAAGGGTAATAAACAAAAAATTTTAATTGCTGTCAAATTACTTTTGAATGTGTGTGATATTGCTTCTTCTTATGTAAATAGTCGTGTTCTATCCAACCATGACGAAAAAAGAGAACTAAAGGTTGATGAAATTTCGTAGTGTGGGCATATGACAACCTGTAAATATGTTAAAATTTAAACATCTTGGTCTTTGTACGCTAGTGACAGCTAACGTTTTAGTTGGTCTGTGAGTAAGAGCATTCGTTTGATTCAGCTATGAGCAATCTTCTTAATTTGCCGTTGCATGGTCTTCAATTGTTAGTTAATACAAAAACCAAGCTAGCAAAAGACACACAATGTCAGATTCTTTTACGAAGCTCAAATTCTATTTACGAAAAATAATAAAGATTATAGAACATAAACTCCATATTATTTTTCAAGTTTTCCTTTGTTCAAAATTTCTTCAATAAATTTTTTTGAGCTAAAATATGTTTACAAAATCGTTTAAAAAAATAATTAGCATTTATTGTTAAGTTCTGCAACGCAAAAGTTTACTAATATATTACAGTACTCGTCAGCGGCTACAGAACTTAGAAACTACAAAAGATTAAGAAAGGAAAGAAGGTAGTGGAATATTGATTCATAATATTAATGAGTTATACTTGCGATTGATTTCACTAGTAAAGCCACCGTCTAAAAACATTTGGAATTCGTCAACAAATCAGAAAAAAAAATCGAAAACATGTTCAAATTTCAGAAAAATGTCTGACTTTTTAGAAAATCTGGCAACTCTGATTTTAACTGTAAGTTTGGATGAACATGAATTCGGTTTTATTGGGAAAACACTAACCACGTGAAAGTAGAGAAGAGAAACAAGAGCACAGATCAAGAGAATACACACGAACATATATATGTATAGATGTATATACATATAGAGTGAGACTGTACGGAGACACATTTGAAGAATCCTTAACACTACCTTATACATGGTTGTTTTTACGTTATTAGTACTTTGTTGGGTGAAAAAACTTTTGGCCTATCAATAAAAACCTTGCCCATTTCACTTATTGGCTTTTTTCGACATAGGAGAGTTTCTCCATTGGTCTAAAAATCCTGGTTACACCGCTATTGGACGTTAGGTTAGGTAGTAAGATTTATTTTATTATGAAAGTATATATGGTGTGTGTGTGAGTGAAGACAAGAGCCTCATCTATATCCACACTTCATATCAATTATATCCTTTTCTGTCATTTGCATAAATGTGAACTAGTTAATATTTTTATTTTAGAAATCAAAGAAAAATCAGAACAATTATCTTATATCACCTGTTACCAATGCTAATATTCAAATCCGTGTGCTGGAATTATTGTAGTTGGATTTACATCCGTAAACAATATTTATAAGGCGCTTTTTATTTCCATACAAAGTTTAGGTGAGTGATATCTTTTATGATCATGCTATATTGTTGTGACTCATGTATTCTAAGTCTATGCAAAAATTATTGAGTAAAGATCACTGCAAACAGAATCGACAAAGTATCAGTGAGTTAAAAAAAAGTAATGATCCTCGAAGAGACAGGATATTAGAAGCCAAGAGGATCGTCCAAGATGTCTCGAGTTTATTGACACTACTAGAATATTATATTGCATATTTTGCTAGTACATGTATTATTAAGTGTGAAATCAGAACTAAAAAGCTTTTTCTAGTCAAGATCGGGATAATAAACGATTGATCCCGCTCATCGGTACTCATTATACTTGGCAATTTAATAAGCTTCATAAAAAAGAAAAATTTCTTTCTTCTAATCATTTGAAACCAATCGCGAATGATTAAATTGTTTAAAATTAATTTTCCTCTTTTTTATAAATATATATAATGTTCGAATTATAGCAAATAAAAAATAGAAAATATGCATACACATAAGAATTGACTATAATCATTCAGAACAAAACAAAAAAAAAAAGAACATATTTTCTATGTGTCAGAAGATCAAATATACTTATTATCTAATAGATAAGAGATTTTCTTTCTTTGCTTTTTTTTGGTAAATAAAGATAATAGATGCAAAAATAGAGATCACTGTTTGTCAATTATTATTTTTCTTTTTGCTTTATATAGATATTGTCCATGGAATAAAAATAAAAATAAATAAATGAAATAAAGAAAAACAAATTATTTTAATGATGTTTTTATTTCTTTCATGAGATTAGAAAGATAATGTGTTTTTGTTGATTTATCATCAATTAAAATATCATTTTGAGAATTCTAAATAAATAAAAATCTTAAAATAGACATACTATTGATTTAAATAAAAGAGCTATTAGTTGTCCAAGTGTTGTTTCAGCATATAAAGATACAGCTGAATTAATTTTTTCGACAACTAAATTAAGAATTTGGATATAAAAAAAAATTCAATTTTGTTTTCTAACCAGTTAATCAATAAGATTGACAAATTTTATTAATTATCGATAGAAAATCTTGATTAGATGATGGAATACGAAGTTGTGATTAACATGTCAATGTACCCGAACTCATCAAATCAGCGAATACCATACTTTTTAAAAAATATATATTCATGTGAAACAAACTAAAAAAAAAACTTATTCTTGCGAATCAATAGTCTTTCGTCGTAAATATCGTGAACAAGGTAAATTAAGTTTAAATTCAATTCGATCTGTTTCAATTATATTTAATTTCTAAATATATTTGTCAAAAATAAATATAATAAGTATCTTTTTTTTATTTTTTCAATATACATTTATAGAATAAGTCAATGTTGTTTTTAATTTTTGAGAAAATGATATAGCATTTATTGAAAAAAATAAATATGAATATAATTTTGTGAATGAGGAAAAAGACTTATAGATGGAAATGATATTAAATTTGCACTTGTTGTATTTAATAATTTCGAATTCATACTACAAATAACATGAATATTAATATGATCAATAATAAATGATGTTCGATTTTCTAAAAGAAACGTTACATCAACTTGAACTATTAATGAATCTGGATTAATCAAATATTCCTAAAAATAAATTTATAACAGATTGTTTAAATACATATTCAAATGATTTCAATGGTAAAAAAAGTAATATCTCCAACGTTGGCTTTTTTTTAGACTGGAATCGGAATGGATCTTTTTGTTTGTGTAATAGTCATTTTAGTGAATTTCTCTTCAGATCATCTTCAAAATCAAGTTCTTGATAGGATTAATTCATTGTGTAAGTGTCAGAAACTTCCGAATATCTTCTATCCTGAGACATCAATATTGAAAATTCTGTTACGAAGAAAAGCGAACTTCATCCTTTTATATCTCAAGAGTCAATTTTTTAAAGATGATCGGACGAAGATTTTCTCTAATCTCAGTAAAGTCTACCACCTAATGAGATAAGACTCATGTCAAAAGCATGTTATCGGTTAGTGGAGTTTCCTCATCTATTGTTAAACTAGGATGATTATTGAATTTACAATTGTCAAATTGTCAGATTGAGCAGCTAGTTTATAAGTATCTTGTTCATTGTATTGTTGCTCAGATTGATTTGTTGGATGAATATCATCCATCATAATGTCCAACAGGAGTGGTACAGAAGTATTTGTATATACTATTGTTGTTGTTTCTGATGATGATTTTTTTACTTTGGTTTTCTCTGCAGTAGCAGGAGGAGGAGGAGAAGGTGTAGAAGAAGTTGGACGATTTTCTTCTTCATCAGCTGGTGAAAATAATTCTTTATCATCACTACGTTCTCGTTTGTGTTTAGATTTCGATGTTGATAATTGTTCTTGTTTTTCAATTATTTTCTTTTTCTTAGATTTTTTGTTTTGGCTTTTCAGTTAATATAGGAGGTGTTTCAACTTGTTTAAGAACTGATTCTTTTAATTGAAATGTCAATAGTGATGGTGTAGGAATCGATTGAATAGGTTTTTCATTTAAGTCAATATTAAGTGCTCGATATGGATCATATTTTTTATTTTTTTCAACACACACATCATTATCATTATCATTATCTTTATTTTCACTTTCTGTAGCATTTTCTGGTAATTTACCATCACGTGTTACTTTAACAGTTGGATAAATATCATCATCATTATCAGGAATTACTTTTGCATCAGTTTTCGATTTTTTTCTTTAAACGTCGATTTTCTTCATCAATTTTTGCTTGACGATATAATTGATTAGATAGTGTTAATTGTGAACTAGTAGCATTTGTTCCTTGTGATAATGTTAATTCAATACAATCATTACCATTTATAATACCCGAAGTTGTTTCAGTCTATAATATTAAAGATAAATTCAAGGATTGAACTATACTATTTGCATTCTATAGAATCAAATGAGCTAAGAATATCCTAAAGATAGTTCAAGTCTGTAGCTTATTGATGTCGAGATATTGCACTTTTACAGTAGTTTTTAAATGAATGTCGTAGTTAGAGCCCGTCGGATTAGTTTCGAATCCGAAAACTTTGAATTCGATGGGTTCTAGCCATGGTGCTTCGCAGGAATATCATAAAAACTAATTTTCGAATTTTGCCTTCGAACTCTTCATAGAGACAGACCTTAACGAGACTAGTTTCTTGTGAATGTTTCAGATCTTACCATTGCTCCTATCTTAAGACAAAGCTATGATAAAAACTTGTCCATTATATCTGATGACAAATTCGACATTCTTATGTCAACGTGGACGATAATCAAAAGATTTGAAATGTTCATAATAAACTACTAACACTAAAAACTTATTTGTATCAATTTTGGTTTTTTTTGACTCTTTTAAATAGAATGGATTCATTTGTTCACTTTGTTTTTTTGATTATCGTTGTTTTTCTAATTCTTCAGCAGTTGGTTCAATATATTTTTTCGATTTTTGATAACTTAATGTATCACCAGAGTATGAATTAGAATTAGAATTTTCTCCATTATCATCATAAAATAAACCTTTATTATCATAATATGAACTTGTTATTATCGATCCATCTTCACTGTCTGATTGAGGATCATTTATCCAACCATCCAAATCCAAAAACTTTGAGTTTTAGCAGCAATTGGATTAAGAACATCATCAAATAATACTGATAATTCATTAACATTAAATTCAGATTTTTCAATTAATTATAATGTTGTTTTAAGAATATGTAAAATAACACTTGGCCTAAATAAATAATTTCTTTTTTTTTTATATTTGATATTTTAAAATAAAAAGAAAAAATGGCCTATTCCTTCTTGTGCTTCGACATCACCACTTGATAAAAATAGAGACATTTTATCAATCGTTAATGAAAGAAGTTGTTGAATTAATGTTTCATCATTATTCGATGATTGAATTAAATATATTATAATTTATAAAATATTTTGATTTTTTAATGACTATAGAGAAAAGAAAAGCAAGAATTCTTTCAATTAATTTTGTTTTTCGTTATTGACTTACGAACAAAATTCACTACAAATCCATGCAGCAGCATATAAAACTTCGGAGACAGTTGTAGAATTTGAATCATGAATAACAACATAAGCATTTTCGAGAAGAATTGCCTAAAAACCTGAAATAAAAAAGTTTTTTCGTGATTTTATTTTTGAAAAATTTCTATCATTTGATTACAAGCAAATGAACGAATAGATTCAACACGAACAACAACATCAAGCATTCATAAAGATATGAGATCACCATGTTTTGTACTTTCAAGATGAGTTAATTCAACCAATATACTAATATATCTATTTTAATAAATAATGTTTTTTTATTAATAAAAATTAAAAAAACAAATGTAAACCATTCAAAATTAGTTATGTGTTAATAATCATTTTGACTACATATTTCAATTATTTTTGAAAGTAATTCATCTCGATAATGTGATCCTTCAGATTTATTCATATGAACCATTAATTTATGTACGATATCCATTACAGTTTTTCTTGTTACCTGAATAAGAAAAAAAATCCATAATCAAAATTAAATTGATTCAAATACTGAATGATCAGATTTTTTTTTATTAATAGTTTTTCTCCATCGAATTCTCATACCATCTCAAACAAAAGCTCAATTAATTAAAGAGATCAGTTATTCATGTTTCATTCTACTTATTTAAAAGAATTTCGTCAGAAAAACTCGGTAAAATGGTAAGAAGTTTCTACCATTTTCTCGAGTTTTTTGGCTGGAAATGGCACGTATTTCTTGACCTGAGTAGAAACTAATAGATTGTTTTTATGGACAAACTCGTGTATCAATAAACATTTTTTTGTATTTCAAAAATAGATAAAAAATACAGTAAAATGATTACGAATGAAATCAATAGACTAATAAACATAAATCATATTAACCTTTGTTTATAATGACACATCTAAATAATACAAAAGATTTACAAAAAATTAATTCAACTAAAACTACAATAGCCATTGGAAATAAATAAGAGTTTGTAATGATCATTCTTTCATATTAATTCATAACACTTTTTATATAGGAAAGCTGCTCTAAAGCGCAATTTCTGTGTAATGAAATACGAGCCGATGCCGACTGAAAAATTGTAAGAACTTGGAAGCAGGAATCCAGCGGCTGGCTCTGTCCAATTACGATCTATTCTGATCGAAATTCAAAAAGTCCAACTATCGGTTTCCTATTATTTTTCCAAGTTTTCCGACCGAAAATCCATGGATCCAGGCGCTGACATCACCAAATAGAGATCTACGTTCCATTGGCATGGTCTGTCTTTCAGAACCTGTGTACTTTCTATCAACGTGACATTACTATGCAAAACATATATTGACTATATACAGTAGGTCGTCACTGTCTGGAGAAGAAAAAAAATAAAATATTAACATAATAATAAGAATGTTTTCAATGTATTTAATGAATCAATTAAAGACGTCAAAATCTGTCCTCTAATATAAATGTAAATCAGAAACAATTTCGAGTTCCTGACGTATGAAAATATTCTCAATTTCAAAGATATTTTTCTAAGCAATTATGATAACAGTATGATATTAATATATCATAGGAGAAACTAGAACTAGATATCTGACTACAGCACAAGTGAGTAAAATCTCCTTACATATATCGATTTATTAATCCACTCAAATTCAAAATATAAGAGATTTCTTGTTTGTTTATTTTTTTTCGTTTTTCTACAACGAATAAAATCAATATCACGATTGAATTTTTTTCTTGCAATACTTATTCGCGAAAATTAATATAACCTTTTTCTATTGTTAGAAAAGAGGTTAGTCGAAAAAAAAAATAAGTATTCACATAGCACGAACACTGTATACCTCGATATCTACATTTCTTCATGAAAAAAAATGAACCTATTAAAAATTTAGAAAAAAAAATGACAAGTAGGTTCGATGTTTTGTTTGAACGTCTGTTATTTTTAGTATCTTTTTGTGTACTCAAAAAGTGAGTACACTACTAAAATCGGGCAGTGTGTCCGTCCGTCCGTTTATTCGATAACTTTTGAAAGGAGAGTCCAATCGCGATGAAATTTTCTACACAGTTTAGTCTTAACAATATCTCGGTCGAGTTCGAAGATGAGAAGGATTGGCCGAACCATTGCTGAGTTATTGCAAAAATAGTCATTTTTCCCTATGAGAAGATAGACCCTTCTCTGTTTTCATAAAAAACGTTTCCTATCATAGTCAAATAAAACCCCAACTATTATATACCATTCGATAGAGAATTTCACGAGCTACAAAATGGTATATAAAACATAAAGAAACAAGAAAGCTAACTCGCCTATTGCAAAGATAATTAATCGGAATGCGGTTCTGTTTTTGTCCACGCTCTATGTGATCCACAATTAGAGCTCTATCTTCCCATCACAGAGATGATAGTTCGAGGTTTTCTAGAATGGAGAACTCGAATCTATGTTCCATTCGCCTCGAAATCCCATTGGTTGAACAGTAACCAATAGAAATCAAGTTATAGGAAAAACGAATTTCTCAGGGTAAATCAAGGTGAAGAGTTCAACTCTGAGCTCTATTCATCTCTAAATCCTATTGGTTGAGCAGTAACCAATAGAAATCAAGTGATTACAGAAAGGGTTTGCCAGGAGAATTTTGATGTCCACACATTCTAGGGTTACTCATCTGTCTCATTCACTTTTTGAAGCACACATAACTCTCGGATTTGAATCCGAGGTTTCCACATTTTTTTCTATCGAATTGATTATTTCATATTTGAATGGTTTCTTGTCATTGATTTTTTAGCTAATAATTCATTTTCTTACCATTCCAGAAAGAAGATCAAGTGCACATAAATGAATTGATTCATCTTTATCATCAAGACAACACATTATTAAATCACTATGTATTTGAACACTTTTTGGATATGTATGTAAGATTTTCGACATAGAAAGTAAACCAAGATATTTTACTAAAAAATAATATAAAAATTTTTTAGGCAAGTTTTTGTACACATAGTTGAATTGAAATATTATGATTTGGTAAACCCGATGAAATTGATACAAGAACTTAAATAAAAACGTATTCAATTAAAATTTATCTCTTTATTTCATTTGACCAGCAATCACAGTATTAATACATTCATATAAAAGAGACATGGCTGAATTACTATGAATTAAATTTGTCAATGGCTCTATTAATTTTTTGCCTAAACGAAGTTCTAATGGTGTTAATGCACCAAACTAAATACAAACAACGAAAAAGAAATCCATTCGAAAACAAAGAAGTTAAACAAATTTTATTTACTAAATTAATAATTTTAATAAGCGCCCAATTGTTAGTTGATGTTGTCAAAAGGGGAAAAAACATGGAGCTAAAGCAAGATCATTTTTTGGATTACGTCTAGCTAATTCACAAATAATATTCACAGCAGCTGCTTGTACACCTGAAAATAAAATGTTAAAATTCTTGTTTTTTTTTATTTAATCAATTTACCTGAATCGGAATCTTCAAGTTTTTCTTTTAAACGTGGAAATGCTGGTTTAAGAGCATCAGAATTATTAAGAAATATTTTATATAAAAGTAGAATAGCTCATTTACGAATATATGGTTTTGTTGATGTCATCTAAAAAAATTTATTTAAACAAATAAATAGAAATAGAAATACAATTATTTCTTACACGCGTCATTATATCATTAGCTAAATCATGTGTAAGATCACTATTTATAAAACATGAAAGACTACTCATACCAATATCTGCTTCATACATTGATGGACTATTTAGATCCTTAAAAATATTCGTTTTATTAAATACAATGATAAACAGAAAAATAAAATTAACCTTTCGAATCATGAAAACATTATGAAGCAGCTGTAGATAACCAATTCGGTAAAACAAAAAGAAATTACGCATAAATTAGAATCTTTGACTATCGAACTATTTTTTATTAGTAGTCTATATTTTGATCGGAAGGAAATGTCGAACACAAAAAAAACCTAGAATAATGAAAACAAAATTGATTTAAAAGATATAATTATCACAAGATTAATGTCAGATTATGTTCAAATAAATCTATCATCGGTCATTCTGTGCAATAAAATAGATAACAATATGGATTAATACCGTTTCATTACTCATTACTTATTACGTAAGAGATAAATTATAAAGATCTCAATCACCATTGTATCACTGAGTACTATCAACAAAGATTTAAATTTCATCAATTCAAAGAACGATCAACCGCTTTAAATCTTGAGTAGGCCATCTCTATTGAGTTATAATCTATCACAAAATCAAATTTCCCATCAACTCGTATTGTCGTACACTTGTCTACGTATGGTTTAATGTGACTCTTGAAATGACCGCCATTTAAAGCGATCCTTTAGAAATTGGGAAGTAAAGAGATTTTGCTAGTGTCACACTTTAACCTCGCAATGAGCCTAGCTTTTTGGTATGTTCTGGAAAAATTTGAATAAATATAAGAGACAATTGGGTGTGGGTGTGGATGTGGGTAAGGAGAAGATTACAAAACCATCCACATTCGCACCCACACCCATACCCCATCTTGCAAAAAAATTGAACAACAGTTCCAATATCTCGATTGAATGTTGTATAGTGTACTTCTTGAAAAACGTTAAAAAAGAAAGTCTGTGAATCTCATTACATGAACATCGATATATTTTCTGTGACATTTAAAAAAATTAATTCTTTACAACCCATATTAAGCGTTATTAGAAACATGAATAGAACGATCCGATAAAATCATTGAATAATTATTCTAAGAAAAAGCCAATTTTCTAAATAGTTCAACTATTAACATTGCATCCCATTGTAGAATTTCTCATGCTAAACAGTTTCCTTTTAAAACTTTGTTCAGATGAACCTTTGAGTACAAAAACTTTTCTTTCATAGTCTTTATCGTCACACGGGAGTTCAGCACGAAAAACGATCACATTCTAAAAACGTTCACTACAAAACTGAAAAAAAAGTTCTATAGCTGTACAAAATCTTAAAAAAAGGTTCTCCCGTGTCTACACAGGATAGAATTGTCGCCATCAAAACTATAAAGATTTCGAATTCACGTACGAAATCTTGTTAGGCTCAACTAGGCATGCATCTAGCCTAAATGTTTGAGTTCGGACTTGAATGCAGTCATTTTCAGTTAATTAATAAAAGGTAGCAAAAGTAGGCCAAAAGAAAAGACTTTAGAGTCGGCTATAGTAGGTCTATGTATAATGACATCAATGATTCAAAAACAGAAGAGCTACAAGCATCCGAACAGAAAGTCAACGATGTTTGAAAATACTCAAACTCGAACTTAGCTAAACCTTAGGATGGCTCCATGGTCACTCATGTGCTTAAGAAGCGCTTGAATAATCGCCTAAATACTCAATGCTATCTGAACCTGTTGGACAGTTACCGTAGCCGAACCGTGCAAAGAAATCCGAGCATGAATTGTTTGGCCTTGTTGGCTGTTAAAATAGAGTTCGGGTTCGTTGCATGCCCATTGCTCAACAGAGTCTGCAAAACGTTCTTACATGAGACCAAATCTTGAGGTTCTATACTACAACCCTTGATACAAAACTTCTCAATATTTTTCTTAGATGTATGTGAAAAGCCTCGAAAAATTCTTCTACCAAATCTATAATTTCAGATAAAATTAATAAAGATACATTTTAACTTCAAAGGTTTAAGACTAATGGATACGATCTTAATAAATTAGAATACGGTTTGTTGGAAAAAAGGATACAATCAAAGTTCAACAGTGTTTTTACGCAAGATATGTTCACCAACTAGAAATTGACAACCTTAAAGAATTTCACATAACAAAGGAATTCAACGCTGTTCACGATTAACGAAGAAATTCAAGCAAATCTAACACTTCGATAGAATACTGTTTCTTTGATTCTTTTCCTAGATTGACTTGAATTCCTTCTATCTTCGATTACGTTGGCTTCTATGCATTTCCTTAATTTTCCAATACGTGGACAGTGACTATTGATGAAGATCAATCAGGAGCAACATGAAGAATAAGACAAAAGTGTTTTTGCTTTTTATACATCAGCTAAAACAACAGTGATACATCTTAAACCAAAATTATTCTGAATTGATATCATTATATGGAACTTAATCGAGTTTTCTTGAGTATATTACTTTTCAAATGACCGTTGGGTGTGGGTGTAAAGTGAGCAACGAAAATCCATTTTACCCACACCAGAGATGTTCATGGCAGCGCTGCCGCATTTTTTTTTCGAGGACATTGAAAAACTGCATGAATTTAATAGAATTTCAGGGTTTACAAATGAAACACTCTGAGGATGAATGAATCTGATGAACTAGTACCAATATTTCTGGTCAAATAGAGTTGCAGAAGTGAAATTAGAAATACGTTTTTAAAAACCATCGCGGCAGCGGCAGATTTTTCACGAAAAATTGACTTGTTTTTTTTTAGTTTTTGATGAAAAATCAACCTTCAAAACCTATTAAGAAGCCTTGATTTTAAAAAAAAAACTTGGCATGCGGTCTTCAGAAAATTTATCAGAAAAATCTAATGTTCCAGATTCGATGCAGTTTCATATTCTCTTTTAAACTGTGAAAAGCACAGATCTCTGTTTTAATCTTATCAAAATGATTCCCAAAATATTCATCTATCTTTTAATTTGGGTGT